TTGGGCACTTTGGTAGGCTCGAGGTTGGTGATTGAATTATGGTATGTCGGTTATTTATTGGGAAATTTTCGTCATATCCCATGATTTGATTCGCGTAAAGTTGAAATCTTGCGCAGTAGGAAAATTGCCAGCATCCCAAGCTAGTCCTGAAGTCGTGTCTGCTTATAGAATAGAGGAAAGAGAAGAGACCAAGAGGCTTCTAGAGAAGTACTCGAGCCTTTGCCGTGCAGCTAAGGTATGCAGGCATCTCTTTGCGTATTTCACAACAAATAGGAGATTGTAGGTTATATAATTTTAATGTTGATTTCTGCTTGTTCATCTTCACCATGGTTAATTTTTCGTTGATTTCATTCATGATGGAAGAAGTTGCTTATTGTTTATTTTGTTTTATGGCCTTTGGAAATGTATACCGGTAAAGCTCTAAGCTAGTTATCATGTTTTCTCCCTTCAGAATATATGAGTACCTATAACTGAAATTTGCTTTTGTTAAAATTATCTGATTATGTACTATCTGTAATGCAAGTTGTGGGAAGACCTCAAATATTAATGGTCTTTGTTAAAGCAATTTGTTTTCAGGTTAAGGTAAGCAGTGTCATTGGTGAAGCTGATCAAGTTCAGACAGGGATTGTGGATTTGGTTACTGTGCATAATATCAGGAAGCTTGTTATTGGAGCAATAACCCCAGAAAAGTAAGTGATGCATTGATCACCAACAAATTCAGTCAGACAGAGGGAATGATTGTCTGGCATGCATTAAACAGCTTATTCACTTCTTTGATCCCTTCTAGTTCAGAAATATTGATGTTATTCTCTCATCTCGATGTTTATCTTTTATGTAGACTGAGACTGACATATCTATGACTTCCTCTGCTCTTATAACTTGAACCATAAAATATACTCCTGTTACTTTCTTGCCTTTTCTGTCATAAAAGGTGTTAATAATCTTTCCTTTTTACCAAAATAATGGTAAAATGCAGTTGCATGAAAATCAAAAGGAATTCTAGTAAAGCAAACTTTGCTGCGAAAAATGCTCCTCCATTCTGTGAAATATGGTTTGTCTATAAAGGTAAACACATTTGGACAAGAGAAGCTTCTGAAACTCATTGTTTTGTATCTTCCCATGCTCAACCTGAGACTACAACGGCAGAGAGTTTGAGTTGTAGATCTCTTCAATATGGTACAACTGAATTGCTCCATTCAGAATGTCTTCAATCAAATTCTGCAAGGGCTACAAGAAGTACAGTTCCGAATGTAATCATTGAAGCAGAAGCCACTTTTTCATCCAAATCATCCAGTTGTAGTAGTCATTGTTCTCCCCAACATTCAGAATTTGAGGAAGAAACAATAGATATTCATCTTATTGAAGCCAAAGCAGAAGCTAATGCTGCAACAGATGTGGAGCTGTTGAAGTGCAGAAGGTTGGAATTCAAAGCCATTGAGGCCATTAGTAAGGTAAGCATGACCTAACATAAGGAATGCTGCCAGACAAATTATTGTTTGCCATGAGGGTTCAATTATACTTTCTTACATAATTAAGAAACATTGGTAAAGAATTAACGCATGAAGAATCAAGAGAAAAGCCATCTAAAAGATACTAGGATTCTGTAAATAAATTTTCTGATACATAAATGTTTAGTAAAAATTGTAGAACAGACCAGTAAGTAGTAGCAAGAACTGGTTTCCCCAAATTCATTAAAGTGGCCAAATTTATTGTTGAGATATTTCATGGACACAACGCAATGCACTTGTGGTGATATTCAGTATATAGTTTTTTTCTGATATTTCTCAGGGCTTCTGTTCCAACACGAGTTATTAATCTTTCATCAGGTGAACTTATTTGAATCTGCCCATGCACATGAAGTAAAGCTCAGAAAAGAGGTTGAGGATGCAGTGAGAGCTACAATAAAGGAGCAACGGATGTTTTTGGAGGAGAAAGAAAAAATTGCTAGTGAACTGGAAAGGACCACAGGAAGTATTTCCTTGCTAGGAAATTGTGCACATGAAATCAACAGTAAGTGTGATGAAGCTGCAAATGAACTATCACTAATTCAAGCATCCTTCTCAAGCCTGCAGCATGAAAAGCAGGAAATCAGGCGACAGAAAATGGAGGCTCTACATTGGCTTGAACGGTGGAAAAGTTGTGGACATGTTGGAGCAGATCACTGCGATGGGATCATTGGGTTTTCTGAAGAATTTCCAGAGCTGGCAGAATTTCCATTATCAGATCTTCAAAACGCTACGTGCAACTTTTCTGAGAGCTTCAAAGCTATGGAGGGTGGATATGGTTCTATTTACAAGGGAGAAATGTTGGGTAGAACAGTTGCTATAAGGAAGCTCCATTCACACAACATGCAAGGATCAATAGAGTTTCAGCAAGAGGTCAGTTTTCCCATAACAGCCTTTCTGCTTTGAGATAATTATCTTAAGTTCTTTAGAGAGGATCAGTGGTGAAAACATAATTTAGAGGCTTTTGTATTTTCAATTGGTTTCATAGCTGCAACAACCACAATTCATCAACTCATAATCCTTTAAAATGGTAATTTAATTAGGTCTATAATATCATTTTGTAATGTTGATCTGAAGATGAACTCCATGTATGGTAGCATATCCTGTCCCGAGCCCGGGTAGAGGAAGGACGTGATAGGCCCTTGACATCCAAGTAAAACCAGTTGATATTCCAAACATGCAACAATAACAGAAATATAAGACGACTTTAAACACTTCCAAAGCATCAAGGAATTCTTCAAGTAACTTTTTTTCCAAACTGCAAGAACGCATTAATAAATGGGACAAGACCTTGACTGTCTTAGGCTTTTTCTTTTCCTTTAATTTTAGCTGAGAAAGTGTCATATATTAATTTAAAATCCATCCAACAAAACCGTCGATATACTATTGTTCTTCATTATAATGAGTTGAAGTGTCCTCATTTTTCGTAACTGGTTTTAGTTACAAAATACATGAATTCTATGAACTGTGGAAAATGAATTTCTGTCATCGTAAGTTATCCTAATCTTTTTTTCCCCCTAGCATAGATATTGAGTTGATAAAAAGAAAAAAAACACATACAGCATCTATTTCTTTCTTGGTTTGACTGTCTAACGTATGCATATAGCATGCTTGTTTGATCCAACCAATGTTTATGCTTGTGTGACCAGGTTCGAATTCTTGGTAGTCTCCAACACCCTAATCTAGTTACTTTGCTTGGTGTATGCCCTGAAGCCTGGTCATTTGTGTATGACTTCTATCCCAATGGAACTCTTCAAGATTACCTATTCCGAAAGGGAAGTCTTCTCCCTTTGACATGGAGTATCAGAGCACGATGGGTTTTTGAAATTGCTAGAGCTCTCTGCTTCCTACATTCTTCCAGACCTGAAACTATTGTCCACGGTGGTCTGACACTTGAAACTGTCCTTCTTGACACTGCACTTGGTTGCAAGATATGTGAATTTGGGTTCAGCAGGCTAGTGAAAGAGGAGTCACTTTCTCTTCCTAGTTTTCACTTGAGCACCGAGCCAAAGGGTCCTTTTTCATATACAGATCCCGAGCTTCAGAGAACTGGAGTACTAACACCTAAGTCTGACGTATACTCTTTTGGACTCATCATTTTGCAACTTCTCACTAGTAGGACTCCAGTTGGATTAGCTGGTGAAGTACGCAGAGCAGTTTCATGTGGAAAATTGTCTTCAATTTTGGATTCTTCAGCTGGAGAATGGAATTCCACCGTGGCAACACAATTGGCCGAACTGGGATTGCAATGCTGCCAACTGAACAGCAGAGACCGACCAGAATTAACACCTTCTCTAGTGAGGGAGTTGAAGCAGTTGTATGTTTCAGAAGAGCGACCAGTGCCATCTTTTTTCCTGTGTCCAATCTCTCAGGTAACTAACTGTTCCTTTTGTTTTTTATAGAACTAGATTTAGTAGTAATATTAATGCAATGGCTCAAATGAAATACATAGTATTGGCGATAACATTAATGCAATGAGTTGAAGAGAAAATTTGCAAGATGTTCACAGTTGTTGTATTCATGTGGGTCGTGTTTATTTGGTGCATTCTTCAGGAAATAATGAATGATCCTCAAGTTGCAGCAGACGGATTTACTTATGAAAGGAAGGCCATAAGTGAATGGCTGGATAATGGGCACGAAACTTCACCTATGACTAATTTAAAGTTGAGTTACCTCCATCTCACTCCCAATCATGCGCTTCGACTTGCTATTCAAGGCTGGCTTTGCAAATCTTGAAGTTCCATCATTAATTCATTTATCAATGTTGTAAATATCTACATATCTATTTTTTGCATCATTGTATTGCCTTTCTTTATTGCTTTCTAATTCAAATCAATCATCCTTTAAGGGTTCGATGATATAAGGCAGGTTCCAATGATGTGAAATGACAAAGCGGATTAGGTCTAATGGGCCAACTAGCTTGGTCGTCGTTAACTTAACAGGATGATTAACATTTTTAGTAAAGATACTAATTATCTCCATTTATAGGATTAGAGATATTAATTAATCTTTTAAAATTTGTGTCCGGTGGATGACTTTACCATGACACTACTGGCCACTAACCTAATTCTTCTCTGATCATTATAGATTAGTCCATTTAATCATGCTTTTGGTAGACTTATAGTGATGGACTGAAAAAGATTGATATTCTTGAATTTTGTAGTGCATGATTTACTGATACAGTAAAATCTTATGAAATTGCTTTATTCTATCTTGAACTTAATCAAACCATTAATACATACGTAATAAACAAGATGCCATTTTGCCTAGTTAATGAATGGCTGTCTGTGCCCCAACTTGAAGACAGTTCTTTGAGCGCCTTATAGAGGTTATGTGATTATGTTAAAGTAACGTTGAAAGTCTTCACAGATTATGGTCTCCCATGCGTATTTATAGAAGAAAAATATAAGAACGATAAATTTAGTTTCTTTTCTAAGTTAAAATTAATCGAAATTTGAAGGAGTGAAACGATAGAGTTTCAGTGAAGGTTGAAACCACTTAACTCATCATATTTTTTTCTACTTTATGAAAAATTATCTGAAGAGATCAAAATATGGAGAAATACATTACAAAATGGCAAAAACTGTCATCTTTGTTCTGAAACAAACCGGTGATAATGAGGAAATATTCTGGCAGTAACACAATGGTTACCTATATATTCAGGAATGCAAAATGCAATTTGCAGACAACTTGGACTTGTTGGCTTCATTTAAATTTTCAAATTGCTTCAACACCCTTGTAGTATTCCGTCTCTGGCAGAAAGCAGTGAGGCAGTGCCATGCAATTCAGTTGAATTAAAGGGGTAATCATCTTCGGTTCTGATGATTCCAATCCTGGAATCCTCTTCACCACAATCCAAAAGGGGTTTGGACTCACCTTTCATGTTCCATAGATGGAACTCTTCCTTGCTAGGCTCCTTGTTTTCTTTAGCATCTGTTTCAGATTTCTGAAGCATTTGACTGTTGCCTAGATCATCCTGGTATCCCTTGTCTTCCACACCATCCAAGGACTTGAAAGTTCCACCTTGATGGCCAGGAGATTTCACAGCTACTGTGTCCACATCCACACCATTGTTTGAACAAGAGGACTTGTTTTCCTGATCTTCATGGTTGTTCAAGTCTGAGTCATATCTCTCGAGTGTGGTTGGCATTGATTTCTCACGTAGAATACTTTGTGCTGGAGTTGACCGATGGGGAAAACTTCCAAAACCTTCAATTCCTCTAGATAACCTTCTAGCTTGTTTTCTCTCTTCCTTTAGAAGAGTTACTTCTTCCAGCAGATTCACTATTCTCTCCGATTTCTTTCTGACAGTTAGGCCCCAATTAAACCTGCAGACACTCAAAATGAACTCATTTTGTCTCGCAGGACCAATGTCAAGAGAAGGAAAATTAACAAGCACATGTTTTCGGCAAGAGATGCAAAAATAAGAACACATCCACTTACCCAGTGTCATCAATATACTGAAAACTTTTCATCTGGCTGATGACATTTTTGTCACTCTTAAATTCCTCAGCAACACTCTCTGGTCCTTGAGTCAACAGGTGCTCAAGCACGATCAGGGAATTGTAAGAGATCCTCCAATTCTTCTTTTCGAATTTCAGGAACCTGTTTTAGATTTGTAACAGTCATTCATCCATGATGGGTTAATTGACACCAAAGTAGGAAACATGCTAAGGCAAACCTTCTATGCAGAATCTCCACAATCCTCCAATAATCATCTAACTCAAAAGCAGCCTTTGAAATTGATCTGAGAGTTCTGGAATCTGGAGCCCATGGATTTCCACCGGTTGTCTCTTCTGTCATCCTGCAAATGGTAAAACACATCCACAAAAAGAAAAAGAAAAAGAGGTTGAATTAGAAATCCTAGAACTAGTCTTGCTATGAAACAAATCAAAGGGTGATCATTGATCAAAATGACAAATCAAAATCTCACTGATGATGCCATAAAAGAATTAGACTTACAGTTCTGCAGGGGTGACATCTGTCAGAGCTAATCTAGCAGTTTTTATTTTCTCCTTTAGGAAGAAAGAAGCTTGCTTTTTGAATTCATGGAACAAGGGCGTGCTCATTTTTGCTGGTGCTAGTTTTGTTCGACGATCCTGGACATATCTAAACTTATTCCGTTTGGGGTGGCACGGAGTGGGAAAAAAGTGAGAAGAGAAAGTGGTTTTGGTTTGAGTTAGGACAAGTAAAACGAGCTGAAGTTACAAGTTACAAATTATTCAACCATACACCAAAATCAACATTATTAATTATCAAATGACGTGAAACTGCGGCAATGCTGATACCTCGACAAAAAAATAATCAATTTAAACCGTACAGTGATTTATGAAAACAAAGTAAGAGTGACTTTTGTGCTTGGACTTCGCATACAGAAATTTAATTAATTTTTACACATTACGCTTTGTGAAGTTGCAGTTACTCTAGTTTTTGATTTTCTTTTTCCAGTATTTGAAATTACAAACGCGTACGTGAGAATAAGTCAACATCTTGGGGATTGGAGGGGTAGTTGTATTTGAATTTTGAATTTGATTATTATGAATAAGTCAAAGTTTAAAGCTTTTCCGTCCTTCCAGAAGGGTACGTGGGTGCAGGTTAGCCAAACATTAATGTCAAAATCATGACATTATGGACCACAATGCCATGTTCGTTTTCATATTTTATAATCATAACATGTGCTATTTATGTCATTTTGGTCATCTTTGTCAATAAGTTACGAGCTTAAGCCATGGAAAACACAGTACGTACTTTATATGGTAAAGGGGTTGAACCCAGGATATGTCCAAAGAACCATGCTTCATGAGATTTTGAGTTTTTTGGACATGGCGATTACAGTGTTGAGAGGTCACAGTCAATGAGATATATAGTTTATTGTGAGGATCCATTAGGGCATTGGAAATTTCGCCCAAATTGATTGAACAATGATTTCTCAGTGGTGGCGGCCTCGAATGACACGTTCCTCTTAACTTTATAGCACCAAAGACCGTCTTCTACCAAATTTCTAAGTTCTTGAATTGACCAGCATTACCAAATTATTCTTAGTTTTGGAACAAAATAGAGAAATTTCTTGTGAAACAACGAAAACATAATCAGCACTTTGCACTGAATACCAATTGGTGGAGCCTGACGTAATTGCGTTATATTGCGTTCCTCTTATGTTTTTGTTATTTAACCTTACGTCTATTTTGAAAAATAATAATTACGTAAATTGACTTTGTTTTTAATAATTGCATAATAATTGACTTTTCGAAAAAATAAATCCTTGTTAAGAGTGGCAAAACATTTGAGTTAACTCAGGAAGGACAAGGATGTTTTTTTACTGAATGTAACCAAGTACAACATAGGAAAGATTTGAGTGGGTGGTTAATGAGCATATTAATACATAGTGTGAAAGAAAAATAAAATCAGTTATTAATCATACATATAAATGAAAAATGTTAGAAATATATATTAAATTAAATATAAAATTTATATTTTAAAAAAACTATTGAACAGTTATATTGCAGGTAGAAACCTAAAGTGTTTATTGATTTAAGGTTGTTTCATCCTGCACCTCTAATGATTTCATCTGTACATCCAATTTCTGAAAATAATCTTATATTCTTTTCTATTAAATTTTAAAATCTGATAAAAAAAATAAAAAATATTTTATCGAATTTTGAAATTCAATAAAAAAAATATTTTATCAAATTTTGATATATAATGAAGCACAAAAAAATGGGTATAGGCCTTTTTGAATTACAAGAACAGTTTTGAAATTAAAAAAAAATTGGAAGTATAAGATAAAATTGTTGGGGATGCAAGTTAAACAACTTGATTCAAACATGAGCCCAAACTACATAATTTGGGCTGGAGAATAATATCTGGTGAAAGTTTATATATTTTTTTGTTATCTAAATATGAAATAAATATATAGGATAAGAAAGAAAGGGAAAATGAAATTATTTATTGAATTAATATGATGAGTTATGGTGAGGAGGGAGAATGGAAAAATTGGATTTAATGCAGATGGATGGTTTTCTTCTCCATCAAAATGAATGCATATGAAACAGTGACATGGAATTTAATGAGACTTATAAAGTGACAGATAGTATTCATTTGGTGCGTATTTAATTCTCTCTTAAATGGTAGCTACCAGTTACTACAATTTTAATTAATTTCCTGTTTCGGTAGTATAACTAGGAGTAGAAATAGCACACCTACGTGTCTTTACAAGATCAACTATTTCAAAAGTCAATAAATGAGTAGGAAAAAAATGAAAAAGGTAACAAAATTAAAGGTAAGTTTACATTTTTTTTTACCCTTGAAAAAAAAATATTTTAAGATATTCTTCGTATGTTGAATATCCAAGAAAAAAAACTATTTGTGTCATAATAAATTAGGTTAGATATAATTCTTTCAGTTTTTAATATTAATTTTAATCCATATATATGACTTTTATTAAAATGTTTAATGAATGGAAGACACTTCAACGAATTTTACCTTTTCTAAGATACTAATGACCATTCATACTTATTTATGATTTTTTTTTAATTTACATATATTTTAGTTAAAAATATAAATGGATAATACTTATATTTAATGGAATGAAACACGGTTAAAGTTTACTAGTACTCTCACAAAAAAGAAATTATGTAAACAATCTAAGATGATTATTGTATTTTTCTTGTTCATGTTTTAATGATAATTTACAAGGTAATTTAATTTTTAAATTACAAAATATTTACCCCGTGGACCATCTCCAATTGACATGGCCTTAAATTCCCAAACCACACGACACAATTACAAAAGTTTGATCATCACTTGTAGTGTCGTTTGAGTAGGAACAACATGCAACCCGCAATTCAATTTTTGTCCCAGCTCATAAATTAAATATTGAAATTAGTGTATTGCATTGATATTTTAAAATTGAAGTAATGTTTTTAAAATAATGTAATGAATTATTAAAGTATGGAAAAATGTTTATTTTTCATGAACATGGCATCTCCATGTTTCACACTTTCGTTTCATACCAGTGTAACTTTATTTGAAAAATAAACATTAAAAGTAAAGAGGTTTTAAATGAAAGAAGTACGTTTGTTTTTGTATAAGAATTGGATATACTGTCAAAAGTTTAATAATGGCCTTAGAAACATAGCATTCAACCTTTTATTAATGGCTTAAGTTGGTCAAAGATAGTTTTTGAATAGACTTGCGTACGGTGAGAAGTGAAGAAAATGGACTAATGCTTATTTTGGTGGAGATTGCTTACTTTCAATTCATTGTTCATTGAACCCTTTCGTGTGCAAATTGTAAGTGTCGTCAACGACTGAACCCTTAAATGGTGGAAAAAGGAATTGAGGTCAAATTCTAAAATTCAAAGTTGATTGTGATAAACAGCGTGCCTAATACGAAATCGCACATGTTTCACTTTTAACAGAAATGGGCAACAAGAGAACAAAAGCATCATCTGGTTTAAATTGGACACACGTAAGAGAGTGAAAAAAAGAAAAGACCATTTGGCTGAAGGAATATCGCAACACCAATAAAGAATGCCTTATTGCAAATAGTGCTTGTTCCACATCAAATTGAAAAGGGAAACAAAACCTGCATGAACCTTGGGCCATGCTTGGAATATGTTGAATTTTTTTATATTTTGAATGGAAAAAGATGCTGATGCACAGATGACTAGCCCTGCCATTTGCCAACCAGAGTTGCAGAAAGTGACAATGGGGGCTAGTGCTTTCTGCACGACCAAAAGATTGTTAACGAATGAATTTTATTACAAAAATTACAATTTTATGTGAGTTATAATCAACAAAATCATCCAGCTTTTACAACTTTACAGTCCTCACCACCCACTTAATTGCACAACTAAGTACTCTTATCAGAGATTAGTTGCTGTTTTACAAAAAGGTGAGTAGGGAGGGGGAAAACAGCAAAAAGGATGCCTCACCCTTCGGCACTATATATATATATATATATCATACCTCTCCCTTTCCATTTTTTTGGTATATGATAATATATATGGTTTTCAGTATACTTATTTATACACAGGATCTCCATATTCTTCCTTCCAAAGAAATAACAATGATGGAAACATCATCATGGTAACGGCGCCTATCACCCTGTGGAATTTCGAGCAACTCGTGAAAGACCAACCCTGAAAATAAACATGCCAAAAACATCAGTTTGTAGGATTCAATTGTGAGATCTTTTAAGTGAAATTGTGGGTTGTTGTTGTTATCAGTACCAGCTTTCTTTGCAGCACGAAATAACACTTCTTCGACCAAATGCTGAGCTGGGTCTCCCTCAGGTTGCAATGTGATGAAATGCTCAACTTCAGCCACTGCTTCTTCGTTTGACAAGTACTGATAGAGCCCATCGGAGCATAGAATCAAAAATTTGTCCTTTGGACCTAATCTGTGGTGCTTTAGATATGGTAGGCAGCTGATGTAAGGAGAGTTTCCCACGTAGTCTATTCTAAACATCTCCAGAAGTGCGTTGTTCCACTTGGGCTGCCAAAAAGGATTACCACCAAAAATAAGAAAATGCAGAATAGTGTCCATTTAGAACATACAAAATTATGCTCAGTTTTCTAAAGATGCACTCATAATTCATGGCTCATTTTCCAATTTCTGATAAAAGGAACTAAGTTACCAATGTGTGATTAATTTTGCACTTTTCGATAATGATGGCCAGGCTAACTTGAGTATCACAACAAATACCAGTAATAACAATTTTCTAAATCCTTATATTCCAAGGATCATGCTAGTTATTGGATCTAAGTAAACTTCTGTGGCAACAAAAAGAAATGTGGAAAAGGGTATAACTTGTTATAGCAATATATGAAAGGCAATTCAATTGTTGTTGATTCCCTTGCCGTTCATGTTAAAGACATAATTTATGTAAAGTAGGATGAATAATTGAATACATTTGGATATATCAGTAAACAATAGATACCAACCTGTTTGAGAAATCCGGCACCAAAGGCTCGGGTAACCTTGAGAGAACCCTTAACACGGTCATTTACAACAGCACAAGGATCATCTGGGTGCTCCTTTTTAATTCTCTGGATTTCCTGAAATAGAAACCAGAAACTCCCAATAAAGACATGCAGCAAAACAAAAACCTGCTAAAAAAGGTAATCAAACAGAGGCAAACAACTTACTTCTTCAACACTTGTACTATGATCTTTAGTAAGCTGAATCGCACTAAGACTTGGAACCAAATTGGAGTTATCAACATCCCAAGATTCAAGATCATTCATCGTCTCCTCATTGATCCTCTCCAAGTCCTGCCTGATCTTGCCGAGCCAATAATCAGGCTCAGCCTTCTGAGCCAGCACAGCGCGGCTATCCCCCACATTCATCACGTAAACATCCTCCCCCTTCATCAACATCACAAGAACACAAGAACCCATCAAGGCAAGTTCAGGATTCTCCATCACCATCTTATCCGCAACATCAAGGTAAGACTCCTCAGTCTTCCTCAGAGCCCGAGAAAGAGCTTCCAAAACATCCGCATGATTAATTGAACTTGCTGCTCCACCACATCCTGATCGACTTGAATTCAGTTGCTCCTTTAATCTCCGATCAAGCTCTAACCTCTCCCTATCCCACTCACACTTCCACCTCCGTTGATTCTCCTCCCACTTATTCGCAGCACCTTTGTACCTGTTCCTCGAATTCCTACCTTTCTTACTAGTACTCTTATTACAGTTACTATTTTCATGTTCAACACAGTGAGAGCATGCATCTACATCTGCAACGTCTGTGACATCCCGCAACACCTCCTCTTTAGGTGTCGAATTTTCCTGGGTAGACCCATCATCCCACAACAACCCTTTCAGCTCCTTGTGCACCGCGGTGTAGAGATTCGAGAGAAGGTAATCAGGAGCATCGGGTCCATTGAAACCATCATAGATCCCCACGAAAACCCAGCCGTGTTCCTCAGACACAACAACATGGACACGATCTTCCCCTGCTTTCCCCTGAGCCCACTGAAGATTCTGACTCTCCATAGAATCATCGTCCTCCAAGCTCCCCTCACTGCTCAAATTCACACTCAGATTCTCATTATGCTTCTCCGCCGCAGCCACCATCCACTCCGGCTCTTTTACCACCACTCCTTTGATCGGAGCCACAATCGAGTTCTGCCCACGAGAGAGAGTCTTCGAAATCGCCCTCTGCAAAACACGAATCCACCGACCCTTCCTCGTTCTCACTCTCAAACCTAATCCCAACCCTAAACCCATCCCTCCGTGCGAGAAGCTTCTCGGGAAATGATCCGATCCGTTTCCCTCCCTCTCCATCGGCCCCGAAAAAAGTCCACGATCGATGGGCCCCGACATGAACCCGCGCTCGATGGGGCCCGACATGAAACCCCTCTCTAGCGGGCCCGAGCCCGGAAACCCACCACCGCCCAGGTTCCCCGAGAAGGGCCCTGAGTTCACCAGGTTCCGCGGAATCGGTTGCAGAGGAAGCGACGCGAACGACGTTGAACTCTCGAACGCCGCCGCTCGGTCTATGCAACCGTAGGAGTACAAGTCCACGAACGCCGTCGATAACGGCGTCGATGTGTTAGCGCTCACCGAAGCCCCAGAGATTGTTCTGAACGTCGTTGTTTCCTCCGAGTGCACCTTCGATGACGATATCCGGGTCGGGTCGGGTCTAACGTAGCAGAAAGAGTGACCCAAACCCTCGTCCAGAGGCTCCGTTATTAAAATGGATATATCCTGCTTCCGACGTCCCCCACTGTTATGTCCGGTGAAGCACACCGTTAACTTCCCTATGCCGTTTCCCATCGGAACACAAAAACCACCAAAAAAGAAAAAAAAAATCAACACAAGCTCTAACGTTTCTCTCGCTGTTACTCGCTACAAGATTCTGCTCATGGTGGATTGGTAGAGAAGATGAAGAACTTGAGAGAGAGAGAGAGAGAAGAAGAAGAAGAAGAAGAAGAAGAAGATGTGAGAAGAAAGAGAAGTTGAAGTTGAGATGAGATGAAGAGAGTTAGAGAGAGATGGCGTTGACTTTGGAATAAAGTTTTTTTAAATAAGAAAAATGCACTTGCTTTTTTTGCTTGGTGAATTTATGTACAGAAGAAATTAAAAATTGGAGGATTTTTTTGGAGTGGGGCGTTGACTATATTGAAGATAAAGTAAAACTCAAACGTTTATGTCCGGTTTTGCTATCTCGTTCAATGTTCGCGTACGTTTCGTGTGGGGCGTGGAGCACACGCGCGGAGGCAAGTGGGTGAGATTCGCGTGGGAGGGTCACGGATGGGAGCGATGAATGATTCTGATGGCGAGAGCGTTGTCGTGTTTGTTTGTTGTGTCTTGAGAAAAAATGGAGGGTGAAATTTAAACGAGGGTCATAAATCCTGGTTTAGAATCAAAAAGTCAACGCAGGAAAAAATGTTGTAAACCTGGTTTTTACATAAGATCTCGTAAAGCGTGCCACGGCGCCGTTGGATCAAGCGTGGGTGCAGAAGACTTGAAGGTTGACCACCCACGTGTTTTTCTTTGATTGTTCCGTCTGATAATTTGTCAACTTTAGTTTCCCGAGGGCTCGTAATATATTTATTTATTTAAAAAAAGGAAAAATAAAAATAAGAAATGTCAACAATTTCGGCTTTTTGTGTAATTGAAATGAGAAAATGGTAATGTAGAGAGAGAAGGAAAAGTTGGGTAATCTTAATTGATTGTGCTGGTGGGGTGGTTCGATATTAGTAATGCTGCCATCAGTGCATAGCCTGAATATTTAGGTAATTTGACTAATGTTCATTTAAATGTAGGCCATTACTCCATTGACTTTTTTTTTTAATTACAGATTCAATTCAATGTTCATATTTGAAATGTGTTTCATCATCTTTGCCTCTCAACCCATACTTTATTTCTTTATTCTATATATAATGTTGCATTACAATTTTAACACTTTTTTTAATATTTCATAGGAGAGTGGATTATTAACATAGTTTTTCTGAGAGTGGACTTTTTAAGTACCTAATGTAAACATATTTAGGTGCTTCCACGTCAACAATTAAATTCTGTAATGTAATTAAGTCATTTGGAAGAAAAAATGCACTTGACTTTTGCAATCTGCCAGAACATTGATCATAAAGAAAAAGAAAAGGGTCTGAAATCGATTATAGTTTTCTTTTCATATTATATTCAAAACCGCGTGTTATGATTAGATTTTGCACAGTGTAATCTTCACTGTAGAGGAAATTTATACCTGCATCCATATTGAAGAGCAATGAGGGTCATCAGCTTGTAATGATTTTCTTTCAATGATATAATGGACTATGAACTTAATCAATATTTAATATATTTAACTTTATCCTCTTTATAATGTAAGATTTAGATTTATATTAATAGAATAAAAAATTATAATTAATAAATAATAACACTAGTTTTTGCGAGAAAATTTAGTTCCTATAACATATGAAATATTGACCAACCGGTCATGTAACAAGGTCGATTGGTCTTGGCCAATCTGGTAAAATGGTTTGGACTGCAATTGGGTCTACGTTGTCAATAAGCTACTATAAATAGTAATTGGGTCAGTGCTTAAGTTGTTATTGAGCCAATAATCCAGTGGATGATAAAATAATTAAAGATATCTGGTTAAGGATATTTGATAAACCAAAATATTTGGTTAAAGATGTTTGATAAACCAAATCTAAAATATTTGGTTTAAGATATAGATAAAACTGAAACAATAACTAACCGGATCTCCAGGTAAAGTTGTTTTTATTTGTTATATTAAACTCTTATAAATACATTAACC